CTCTCTCTCTCTCTCTCTCTCTCTCTCTCTCTCTCTCTCTCTCTCTCTCTCTCTCTCTTTGGCACATGAAAGGGAGCATTGCAACTTCAGCATAGTCTGAGTCTGTCTTTCAGAGTGTGGAGATGAAAGGTTGAGTTATAAGACCGTCAGAAAACTGAAAGGTTGTTTGTGCACACGCCTGGAGTACCTCACTGATACCAGGGCCTCCTAATGGAGCAGGACTTTTTGCTGCAACTGGGGAGGACCTCACTGCCAGCTTTAGACTGTAAAAACCTCTCATCCGAGCAGGATAAACAACACTGACTGGCTATCATTTACAGTTATTCATGGTTACTGTTGATTGTTAACTTACTCTCATTTTTATACCAAGAATGTGTTTTATTTTGATTAGGAGATGAAACAGCTGTTGTGCAACGTTTTTCTTTTTTTTTTTATAAAGGGTGTGCAAAGCATTGTTTGCTCACTGTCAGGGTCACCACATTTGTACTGCATTGTTGAGCAGATCCTTGGCGAAGGACAAGGTGTACAATAAATACAACACAACGAGGCCAACAAATCACTTGAACTCAACTAAACACGACAAAGCTGCATTTGCTTTTGAATCTGAATTGAATAGTTTGAGAAAAAAAACATTTTACAACTTTGCAGTAACAATTCTGTAATAAAAATTTTCTTACTTCTAAACTTTGTATATTCTTAAGGAGGCCCTGCCCAAGTTACACAGAAAATATATATTAAAAAATCATGTATACTGTATTACCTGTTCACATGCAAAGCCTTTGGTGAAAAAAAAATAAAATTGAAAATGTTTTCCAAAATAGAGATTGAAGAAATTTTAATTGTTGCCTGTGTGGACTTTTCAGAAATTATTATGTATCAACGTAATTCTTGATTGCCCACTGTAACATTCGTCTTTTTTGTTTCTCTGACTTTGTGTCCTTCTGACCAAAAATAATAATGAAGCTGTTTTTGTCATTTCTTGTTTGTTTGTCTAACCTGATCCTTTCACAAACAGTAAACTGTTTATATTTCATGAGAATTTCCCTTTTCAGCTCTTTTTTGTTGGATAGAAGAGGATACAGCTGTGCTGGGAAAAGAGACTGAGGATTTATCAATTTATCAAAATAAAATTACAGCAGGAAGCTCATTTGTTTAGGTTTGCACCCTCAATCAACTTAAATAATTTCTATAATAAAAAACATAAAAAAACAAAAAATTCTGATAAGTCTGTTTATGTAGTACTTAATAAAAGACAGAAATTTTAGAGTTTGGAAATATTTGGACGTTAACAACAGCTTGGGACAATTATTTTTGAATTATTAAAATGTTTGTGGTTTTGCACTGAGGTACTAAATCAGTCTAACAGTTTAATGTATTTCGTTGATTTCAATATTTATTAAAATTATTCACTGAAAACCACTGATACGAAAACTGTTTCCAACAGTAGATATTGCTGTTGATTTTTGTCAGTAAATTCAGTTAAATGAAATGTCCTCATGTTAAATTTTAACGGGCAAGAACTTTTTGTTTTGAATCATTTTGGGGGTTAAGCAAAAGCAGCACTGTGGGGAAACACCAACAAAATAATACTGCTGAATCATCAGGCCTGTTGCCGTTGTTCACCTCATGTTTTCACACAAATTAGTACACTACTTAACTATTTCCACTGACACAGTAAATTACTATTATTACTTTCAAATTAGTTTTTATATTGAGCTTAGTCCTCAGCAGCAATTTAACAACACGCTGGGTTAGCCCCTCATTATGGTGCAAAGAAAACTCACAGAAAGTTGGAAGAGTTTCATCTTAACTCTTAAGTATCACATTCACCTTAAAATCAATGATAGAACTCACACGTGTAAAATCCCAGGAAAGTGAAAAATGGGTTTATGAGGCCTGTGGGAGGACACAGTGGCTGGTAATTAGGCAAAATAAAAGAAAAAAATATATAGTTTTTTTTTGTAAAAAAAAATATAGCCTCCGCATGCCCCTAAGGAGCTAAAGTGAACCAGACCTGACTGTGAAATTGCATTAGATATGTGTGCTTAATGGAAATAAAAAAATACTTTTTTTTTTCTCATGCCTAATGAAAAATTCTATTTCCCATATCTTCTACTTTATTTATCTATTTATTTTTCCACAACTGTTAATGTCTATCCTTATTGTATTGTAGTTTATCTGTCTGATACTGGTGCTTCTATTGTAGAAGCTAACAGAAAGCGGATGTGCAGAGCTGTGGTTTCAACATCTGTCTGTCTTTGTTTTCCTACAGATGCTTTCCCGCTCAGATTGGGACCACAAGAGAGGCGCCCGAGGATCACAGGTTAGCACTGTCCCCAGGCTTAAAAAAAACTTTTTAAAAGAGGTAGCTGGGATCTTTTTGAAGCGATGTTCCGTGAAGCTGTCGGTATCTGAACTGCAGCAGGCAGCGGTCAGAGCTTCATGGGTGTGAAGTATTAGGCTGATTTACCCCCCACAAAAAAATAATAAAAAAAAAATAAAATAAAAATAAAAAAACCTGTCTTCAAAAATTCCAGAGCAGTTCATGCAAAATGCTGTTTTATGACTCTGGTTTTTTATGTAGAATTTTTATAGCAGCAGCTGTGAGTTGTAGCACATCCAGCTGGATTATCTTTTTTCTTTTTTTGTCATAATAGCAATATGATACTGACTGTGGTTTATAAAATACTGTTTGCATTAATCTTTATAATTTACTGAGATTAGACTTGTTTCATGACAGCAGCTCCTAGTCTTGGCCTTGCTCAGACAAGCTATGGGATCATCAATTTGGTGTTTTTTCACGAAACGTAGGATGTTTTATCAGCTACAACAAGATAAAAATTGTTCATAACTTTTTTTTTTTTCCCAGAACCTCACAAAAGAAACATTATATCCTCTTAAGTAAAAGGAGAGAGGACTGACAGCAGACAGGAATGTACCTGATTTAAGCTCAATGGCTCTTTTACACACTTCAAAAATAACACCCAGAAAACCTTCACTACTCGTTCTACACGAGCTTAGAATGTTGGGAGGTGCCACTCTATAAGTGAGTCCTTGTTGTGGCGTTAATGGAATTAGGGGGTTTGTGGTTTGGCTCTAAGGTGCTTCAAGTCATTAAAAGCCAAGGGGTGTACTGGAAATGCTCAGGGGAAGCAGCTTGTAGAGGGCGGATATGCAGGCCCCATCCTTGAGATAACCTCCCCCCCCCCATATCTTTTGTTGGTAGGGGAATTTGTGGATGTGCCTGTGCTTGGAAATTGATGTATTGAGCTGCCACTGATCCACAGGGCAGGACTCCAGAGTACACAAAGAATAAACAATGCCCTTGGCACTGGCATGGCCACATAAGAGTATGAATGTATCTTGTCCAGCATGTTTTCCTATCAGGAGGACATCCTTCAGGAACAAATGAACGCTGTGTCTGTGCTGACGGTGGGCAGTTTCTTCGGGGAGCAATACATGCAGCAGAGGTTTTTTATTTATTTATTTTTTTGTTTTGTTCTGTATAAACAATGGCCAAAACTGTGCACCAATAAACTTGAAAACAAGAGTTTAATTGTGTCTAGTAATGTTCCATATCACTGATTTCCTTTCCACAACTGATAAAGACTAAAACTGAGGCTGATATCAGTGATACTTATCCAACACTTTGTGAAAATACACCTTATGTGTCTGGTAAATAAATTAAAAAGCATTGTATTTCAATTACTGTATTTATTCATGTATAATACAATCTCAAGTGTAATACAATCATAATTTTTTGAGATTAAAAAGCATAACAAATCTAATCATAAATAACTTGTGTATAATACTACCCCTCTACTTTATGGATGATTTTTAGGGTTGAATTTCTAGTATTATACATGAATAAATAGAGTAACTGGTTCATAAAGAGTACAAGTCATCAGAGTAATTTATTTAGTTATTTTAACCCCAGATGTATATTGATGAAGTGTCCTCATTTGCAATAAAGCCAAGCTAATACAACAGACAAAACCAAACAGAAGACACACTTATACAAAATATGTAAAAATAAAACAATAAAACATGAATTAAAAATAATAAAACAATTAAAAATAAACTATTGTTTGGTTATCAAGAACTAAATTGAAAATTTGCATCTATACATTTCATGAACATATTAACATGAAAATAGAGCACATGCATCTACAGTCTAAGTGACGGACTGAGCTTATGCCGCTGTGCTAACGCATTACCCATGGCCAGTTGAAAAAAAAGTAGTTCCCACCACTCCCACTTCAGCATGTCTTCACAACAATGCTTCGGGGGAGGGGTACTCTGTGCAGTGGGAGCTCTGCTGCAGACTGAGCTCCAGGGAGGAGCTTTGTACAAATAGGTGGTGCTTTGTACCAGCAAGCATTTAGGCAGCTCCACAAGCCTACCACAGGAGATTCAAGGTTTTCTCAAACATTTATGAATGAGTCAAAGCAACACATTGGATATGTCATTTAGATTCATTGTCAATTCAGTCTTTTTTTTTCTATCTGAATATAAGCTTTGCATTCATCAGTGGAATCCTGTAATTGCCCAGACACTAACAAAATGTGTAAGAAGTCCAAGCTTTTGTTGGCATCTCTCTCCATCTTGTGGCAGTTTTCCTCCCACTCTGCTGTCTTGGACCATGCCGTTGGTCAGAAAAGAAACTGGCTATACTTTTTTATGCCCCTGCACTTCATATAGTCCACAAATCACGAAGAAAGAAAAAAAGACCAGAGCACTTGATTGATCTCCTCTGTGTTATATTCGCCAACATGCACACATTAGTGAACTCATTTTCCAAACCACATCTTTTTTTTCTCCTCTGCCTTCTAAAGCTCGTGGTGGATGTTTCAGCTTAGGAACTGACAGGAAGGTTATGTATGGAAAGAGCCATTCGAATATTTGTATTCAACTTGAATACTTGTGGGTTTTGGAATGTGCCCAGAGAGATTACTGGTGAAAAGGATGTTTGTCGGCCCGGATTTTGTGACGGTTGTTCTAAATCAGTGAAAGACTGGAAAAGTGTGAGGCAGACATGGATGACACTGGTATCCAGTTGTGTTCTGTGACGGGTGCTTGTAAAGGGATTGCTTGATTTCCTCTATGTAAAGGTTTGTGCATGCTTTGTTGCACTTGACTGGCAACAGCACACTGTCCAGTTCGTGTTGAGTCCAGCTGCCTTTAATTCAGCCACTTAGGATAGACAAATAAGCTTGCACATTCACTGTGATTTTTTTCTTCAAATTGAACAACTCGGTTTCATTTCAAGCACTTCTCATTTTGCAGGATTTGAAACAACTATGACTGGTACTTTCCCTGGCTTGGATAACAATTTTTGTTGGAGTCAAACATGCTGAAATATGTGAAGAAAAACAAATTCAATTTAAACATTTGCATTGTAGGGGTCAGTTTCTTCAACCATTTCCAGTAAATCTTTACAAAGCAATTAGCTTTTTTGTTTTGATATTCTACAACATTCATAAACACCAGCTTTGGTTTGAGAAAAGAGAACAATTACCGGTATACTCGAGAACATGGCTCAATGCTTTAGGTTCTGGAAGGGTTCACGGTTGTGGTGAGGTTTGGTGATGAGCTTGGAAGTTACTCTGTTTAGTCTTGGCTTCAGTGGCTAAAGCAGTGTCTTAGTAAAGTTTTGTGCTGTCCCACTTGCTGTGACTCATACTGCATCAGTCCACCAAACTTCTCTTTGGTTAATTCAACTGGACACATATAATCATACTAAACTGTCGTGCTAAATATCCAGCTGCTGAAACAGAAGACCACATGATAACTCTTTTAGGGATGCTGAGAATATTTGTTGAGGACAGAGACATTTTTAAATAATTTCCACGTATCTTTTCCAGCACATTCCAAGGATTTTAGAGGTTGGATGGTACTAAAGACTAGATAAGTGCTTTGGTCAAACAGTGCAAAACATTTTCTCAGATCATCTCTTTTTGAGCATCTTTCTTCATTTCTTGATTCTGCTGCGAGTTAGCCTCTGCAGAGACTGCTCCTCCAGTCCTGTTTGTGGTGTTCATGGACAGGATCTCAACACAGTCATAGAGAGGAGAATGTCTGGTTTGGGAACCTCAAGGTCTTTCATTTCTGCTTTTTGTTGATGATGTGGTTCTATTAGTGGATCAAGCCGTTACTTTCATCGTGTCTAGAGAGGTTCGCAGCTGTGAATGTGAAGAAATTGAGATGAAAGTTATCTTCTACAAATGTGATGCCAGGGAGTGAAAGATGGAACAAATGATTAGGCCTTAATCCATTTATAGAGGTGTTGCTCTGATTTGTTGAGATAAAGAAGGAGACAACAGATAAAGCTCTTGATTTATTGGTCCTTCTATGTTCCAACACTCGCCTATGGACATTTCATCAGTGTGTAAGGGGCGGGGTACACCGTGGACAGGTCGCCAGTCCATCACAGGGCCACATAGAGACAAATAAGACAACCATTCACACTCTCACTCATACCTAGGGACAATTTAGAAACATTTTGGTCTAACATTCAGGATTTTGGTCTGTGGGAGGAAACCACAGTATCCAGAGAAAACCCACGCATGAATGGAGCGAACATTCAAACTCTCTTTTTCATGACCTGATCATGAGGACAAAAAATCTCTCTCTCTCTCTCTCTCTCTCTCTCTCTCTCTCTCTCTCTCTCTCTCTCTCT